ATCTAACCATCTCATCCTCTGCCATCCCCTTCTCCTTTGGCCTTCCATCTTTCCCAGCATCTTCTCCAAAGAGTCCTCTCTTCGCATATTAGCAAGATTATAATAAAACATGAAAAGAACCTATAATGATAGAAGCAAAAAAGAAAGTTGATTGAGGCTTTGAAAATACAGGTAGTCCTTGACTTACGACCATTCATTTAACAACCGTTTGAAGTTACAACAGCGCTGAAAAAAGTGACTTACGACTGGTCCTTGCAGTCACAACCATTGCAGTGCCTCCGTGGTCACGTGATCAAAATTTGGGTGCTTGGCAACCGGCATGTATTTATGACAGTTGCAGCATCCCAGGGTCACATGATGTCCATTTGTGGTCTTCCCAGGGGGGTTCTGACAAGCAAAGTCAATGGAGGAAGCCAGATTCACTTAGCAACCACGTGATTTGCTTAACAACTGCTGCAAAAAAGGACATAAAATCGGGCACAACTCGCTTAATGACTGCATTGCTTAGCAATGGAAGTTTCAGTCCCAATTGTGATCATAAGTTGAGGCCTATCTGTAGTGTGTTCAACCTGCAACTAACATCAAAGGAATAAAGGTGAAGTAACAATCTTGTAGGCCAGCAGTAGGAGATATTGCTGACTATGACTTGCTGAATGCATTAGGTAGAGAGAAGCTTATTTCTCCAGAGGGTCTGCTCTTTTCTCCATCATCAAAATAGAATCTGATCTTAGGCAGAATGGAAGCATCTGTTCTTCTCGCCCAGGGGTGGAAGACCTATGCCTTCTGAGACAGCAAAGAACTTTATTCAAACATATTCATTAGTCTTCTTGAAGACTGAAATGGTGGAAGCCAATTAAGTAGGAGGCAGTTGGAAAAAGAATGTTGCTGTATTGTAATTGAAGTATTAAATATATGGCCGTGGCCATTTGCAACTATAATCAGTGAAAACACTTAATGTAACTTGATTCCCAGAAAATTTAAAAAAAGAAAAATACAAATGAGAATGGCAAAAAAAACCCCACTAATTATATCTGCTCTCAGCTGGGGAATTTGCAATTACCAGCAGAAAACAACTCAGCTGGGATGGCTGGCCTGTTTTTTGCTGGCAAGATGTATTTTCATGGTATCTGAGCATCTGCAGTGACCTCACTATGCAAGCTTCACCTGTAGCAGCAACACAGTGCAGGCATGTATCAAATTTTTCATTATCACGGCCACAGACCAGAAGTGATGTTGGCATATAAAAGTTTGCATTAGGAACATCATTTTGGAGCAGGACGTACCATGCCTTGTCCCCATTTGCTTCTGGAACCCCTGATGTGTTCCTTAAATGTGGATATTATGCCCATATTTTCTTTTTTTTAGCATTGCATCTTTACCACATTTGTATAAAGATGTATTAATAATGATTTATGACCTTAGAAAATATTTCATGTCTCTGTATTCCACATTTGAGCCATGGTCTTCAGTGTTTGGTGGCTAAATAATTCGGTGAATGTTATCAGTTCATCATTTCTCCACTTATCTGAGTAGACAATCTTAGAATAATTCTTGTTATGAAAAGCTGCTGGAATATTGTTCTCATTCTAACTCTTAAATCATCCCACAATCCTTAAAGCATAATGCGCTTGAAATCTGATAATTTTATACATGCAAAGGGGTCAAATGAGGTTTTTAAAGCATCTCTGGAAATGAATCACTTCAAACAGCACTTAATTGAAGTTAGCTTGTAGTTAAATTAGATATATTTGAGGGGCACTAAACTCAAGCGTTTATTAGATATTTAAAAGTGCTGAACATCAGGGGCCTGTTGAGGAATTTATGTCTGCGTTATTGTTGCATGTTCCCCTCTCTAGGTTTTCTTCTCAGCATCGCTTTTGGGCACCCAGTGAAGTAGAAGAAGAAGTTGAAAACAAAGACATTTCAGAAATGCTGAAAAGTAGATACATAACCTATGCTGGCAAGTTTGAACCAGTGAAACACAAATGCCGGACCCCCATGCCTAATGGAGGACTTTGTGAAAGGCAGGATAGATTTAAGGTGGGTATGTGGTGAGATCTGTCGTGTCATGCTTGTACACAAGGCCTCACATAATCTTGCAGGATTAACTTGCCCAGAATATTGGCTTCTATGAGCCAAGGAAGGTTGGCCATGAAACTTCAGTAGTCTCTTGAAAAATATAGCCTACTTCAGAAGTTGTTAGGTGAATTAAAACTTAATATTACAAAGCAAGGCGTGAGAGAAAGATTAAGCCTCCTTTTTCCACCTTTGTGTTTACTTCTTCAAAGAGGTGCGTCTTCTAAATATTTATTATAATATACAGGATGGAAAACATCAGAACAAGAGAGCACCAAATACAAACAGAGGGAGCCCCATGGTTGGCATGGCATCCTAAGCTGAGGACGAAGGCAAAGGTTGCAGTCTTTTATCTTTGGGCCAAAAAAGTTGAGGGCCACACCCAATCACTCACAATTTTCCCTCCCCAAACATGCACACAAAAGCAGGGAGATTGAAAGTTCCTTGTTATACACTGGAAACCAGGAGTGAGGGTTGAGCCCCAGAAAGCTAGAATTGTTCCAGGAGGAGCTGTGCAATCCTGACTCTCTCACTGCACTTCAGTGAGGAGAGACCTCACCTGGTCATCCCACCAGACAGCTGTTTGATAGACTGAGAGGCGCATTGGTGGAGTTGCAGCAGTCCTGTCTCAATAGCTTCAGGAAAAATATAATCTTGATGAATTGCATTGGGGTTTTTCTTGGTGGGGGAGGGGGGGTGGACTAGGAAAGGACTTTTCTTCTCCAGAGCTAACTCTTCATTGCTCATCACCCAAGTGGTAGGGAGGAACATAGAAAATAGGGAGAGTGACTGAGGGCCAGATGTGATCTGCCTAATGGGGCTTGCCACCCCCCAGAACTTCAGCCCCTATATTTTCCAGCAGTGATAGAAACAACCTCAACCGTCTCAGATGGGGAAATTGAAGGCAGATGGCTGATTGAGGCTCCTTAAACTTTCTCACTGACGCACCAAATACAGAGCATCAAAATATGCTAGGTCTCCTGAAGAAGAAGAAGAATTTATTTATGAGAAAGTTTATATTGTAAGGCCTAACGTTTTTTTACTGTGTCTAATGGCAGTGACAACTTGGTTTTGGATGGTATTCTATCATTATATTCCAAGAAAGCTGGAATAATTACTGGGCTTAACACTGGATTTCATTATCACAGATAAGAAAGTAATAATGGAACATGCCCCATTTCTTCTCTCTTTCACTCTCAACCAGCAAGGCAAACTTTCTTTACCAAACCTCTTGATTAATTCAGGAACTGAACCAGAACTATGAAACTTACAAAAGTTGAAAGCTTCTACAGATGTGCCTTCTGGTCTGGGGGGACACCTATGCTAATCTGGCCACTGTAGCTCTTCCTTGTGCCTGACCATTCTCTGCTGGTCATATTGGGTTGTCAGGAGGTCCTGCAGAACTTGGAGGAAGAAGAACAGATGAGTCTATGGAACAGGGAAGAGTTTCTCCTGCCAGATGACACATGGCTGGTCGTTCTGCAATATCTTGCTAAACATGGAGCTTTCGTCTGTTGTCACCCAATAATTATTAATAGATTTGATTCTCCATGAATTGGTCTGATGGTTTTAGAAAGTATTTAGTCTTGTAGCAGTGGATTCCAAAAATATATTGTGAAGTCCATCTGAAGAAAAGCTTTATTTGGTTTGCCCTGTTTTTTCACAGTTGAATAGCTGATTTCTCTTGATCCTTGGCATATAGAAGTAATTCCAGTGGGAATACTGTTGTCTTCTTCCTAATGCCTTCTGTTAGGGGCACTGAAAGGGATGAAATGGATGAGTCTCTTGCTCACCGCAAAGTGTCGCCCAATGCCCACTAGCAAGGGGAGAAATTCTTCTTGGGCCCTGCTCGGCCTATTGCCCCTCAGCATGCAGAGAAGGTCTAGGGGCTATAGCAAAGAAAGGAGACCATTTGAATGTCATTCTTCCAGGCTCTGATAAAGCCTCCCTTCAGAGCAGTGACATGTCAGGCACAAAGGAAAGGGATTAATGTGGTTAACTAATGCTGTTGTATTATAAGTTGGACTTGCTCTTTGTGACCTTGGAAACTTATTATTCGGATTGTTTTTAACTTTGTCAAAATGGCTGTTTTTAACTTTGAACACCACCCACCACCACCACCACCCAGAGTCACTGCCCCGAGATGGGCAGCCATATAAATTGTATAAATAATTAAACCAGTGTTTCTCAACTGTAACAACTTTAAGACGTGTGG